CGAAGGAGTACTTTTCAGCCTTCTTTTCATGACATCATGTATTGACATATCACATAAATGTTATAAAAAAAAACTATTAATGGTGTAACGTAATTGGGACTGGAATACAAATCAGAAAAAGGGGGGGGGGGCATACTATTTAATTGACGGATATTTTGAGTGTAAGCTAGATGAAAATTTGCACCCATTTTAAAAAACGCCTTGGGTCAACTCATTACACACCTGCCACTCCAATGGTTTGCCATTGACCCGGGTATAGTTTACAAGGGCATTGTGTCAAATTTAGTGTCTTTGGACATTATATAAATTACTGGCAAAAAGAATCGCAATAAGACTAATTTCCTATTCTTTTAAAAAAAAAAAAACTCGTACGTTAAAATATTTTATTGGCGATATCTGAATAACATTTTCTTTCATAATTCATTTAACAACGACTCGAGACTGAAGCATTTTAAAATTTGCAAGATTTAGAGGACGGTCGGTATAAATGTATTGAGAATAATGAAAATATTTTCTGAAAAATGAACGACAGCACGTAGCCATAATGGGTGTAAAAATGTTTCTTAAATAGTTCCAAATAAAATCCCTAAATATTAGGGCTACAATATCGATAAACACGTTCCTGTTTCCAATTCATCGAGGATTTATTTCCATTTCACCATGCCTGAATAATGTTCTAATGGACAATTCGAAGCAGTAGTGTAAAGTAATGTAGCCTTAAAAGGTCTGTCAATGTTAAAGTTCGGAAGAGATGTAGAATTACACGTTTCTTGTAAATTGTACATAAATTTTGTATTTAAGCATGTTTGAACAGTAGGATTACTCATAAAAAGCAGTCAAAGTACAACATGCATGTACTTTTAACCAACATAGTTGTATCAATACAGATTACATGTACATGTATAAATGCAGTTCTAACTTGTAAAACTACACTTTTATTGTTAATTTACCAAAAAATTTTATGGTAATCCCATGTTACCTCACTAATATAGTAAATTTATCGTATAAAAACATGCAGTGGTATTTTTACATCGTTATGTTAAAGAAATTGCATATTTTTCACTGTAATTTTACCTTTATTTTTAACAGTGTAGATTTCATGCAGGTTCTACAGTGTCATGCCAATTTTACTAAAGAGGTATGTCTTCCAATCGTGTGAATTAGGTTTCAAAATATTATTTCTTTCGAAATTTATCGGCAAAATAACTTGATACACCGCTGAAACTGGTTACATTTAATAACATTCAGACGTCGTATAAACTACTGGTTCCTGTATCATCATATACAGTTTACAGAATCAATGTAAGTGGATGGGTTTACATCGTATAAGATTCGAAACGTAGCTTTGATCTGATTCGTACAATTAGAACTTTGGTTATTATATCAAATCATAACGGGAACCCAGGGCCGGATTAAAGAGTGGGGGAGGCTGACTATGTTACAACCAGCGTTATAATTCGTATTAAGCACGATTCTGGTCTGGGAGAATCTGCATTTCTAGCTATAACTCCATAATTCACGATTTCGTTTAGAAATAATTAAAACCGTTGAAGTGATTCCATACTGAAAATTAAAACCCGTCATACAGTGGAGACATTATTATGAAACCGACATTTCGATCAATACATTTTAATCTTAACCACACTTTGTCTTCAACAACATTTAAAACCTTTATAAGACAGCTTTACAACGACCAGAAAACTAATCCTAGATCAATGTGACTGATTAATTACTCTAATTAGCTAAATTAATTCAATCGGATTATTCAGGAAACCCGGGTGCTGTGACTCTTTAAGCGTATTAGTCCTCATTAAACTGATTGTAAAACTACAGAGTCCTAAAGATGTTGCGACAAAGTCATCTTTATTTCTTATTAGCGGCTACTTCTGTACGTGTTAAACCCAGAACAATGTTAGCTGTATGAGTAATTCCCAATCAAACATGTTTTTAATAATAATAAAAAATAATTCAAACGCGATTTTGTTGACCTACAATGCAGAGAATATCTCTGTTGTCTAGGTAATAATGTAACCATTTCAATTATGCAATACTTACTAGATTTAATCATAATTGTTGCTAATAAAGCTAGATTAAACGATCAAATACTTCTTTAATCTTTATGCCCCATTTTCTTTTAAATGGAGAATAGTTTTTGAAGTACACATATTAAAAGTATTCATTCCTGGCACCCTGTGGATTTAAATTAATCCATTTCTATCCTAACCTGAAACTATCCCGAAAACAATATTTCAAATAATTGTCTTTGAAGTAGTTGATAGCCAGTATGTCTTCTCGGGAGAAACTATTTGTAGGCATTTCCGAAATCATCAACAGATATTGTAGTATAATCCGTTAGAATCAAATGTTGTATTGTAGTCTACTTGGTAACATAAAAGTGTTGATTAATTAATTACAAGTATGTATTATATAATGGTGATCTTTTAATAAAGCTTTCATATTGATTTTGTTGCTAAGTATATTATTTAAAGGCGGGTGTGGTGTGTGTGTATATATATAATATATATTTACATGTAAAATCATTTCTTGAGATGGGATGGAATACGCTTGTTGAAAGCTATCGGTAAATCAGGTAATATAGCCAAAGTATGGTTCAGTGATTAGAGGACACTTCTGTTAAATTATAAATATGGCGTCTATAATACGAAGACGTGAATTTTGAGTACACTAATAAGGATGTACCAGTTTGGTATAAAGACTGTTACTATATCTTAATCGGAATACAAAATATTTTTTTATGAATTGGCTTGTATGAAAAAGAAAGCTGAATTAGTATTTCGTTTTGTTTTTTTCTGCGATGCATAAATATGACGGAGTCAAGTCATTATTGAAACTTAAATTCAGTTATATTTAAATGCCGAAAGTTTAACTCAAAATAAAACTGCCTAGTCGCAAACTTTCGAAAACGCGAGTTAGGCCATACAATTCACTAGTCATATTTGTCGTGAATTTATATTTTAAATTAATTGATTTCATGCACGATGTTACGTTGATAAAAATTCCGTTTTTCTCTTAATATACTCGCGATGACAGCAACGACGAACTCGAACAGAATTCTTCAATTCCCTGGTGTAGTCAATCTCTGTGTATGTCATCAAATATTGGAATTTTTACTGGGCTTGTACCAGAAAACCGAGATGATATTTCGTTCGCTCTTTGTGTAATGGATGACACCAGAAAAACTTTCACCCTATTTGAAATCTTCAGGGAATGATTGTAATTGGTTTTGTAACAACCGCTCTAATTTCCATCGCTCGTACAAAATAATTAGATTTGCGAGACTTTACCAATGTAGAAAAATATTGTGAATTAGTGCCGAGCTATATTCAGAGATGAACCAAATTCATTCAGACTTATTCCAGAGTAGGAATTTCAGGCTATCATAAGTAATTGGTGTTTTTATGGAGTCAAGAAATTGTGTTTCCAATTGAGAGTATAAAATAATAGTAATATGGAACCAGCCACATTTACAATTTACATACATGTATATATAAATGATCTGAATAAACTTTTTAGAGTTTTTTAAGGAGCTCAGCCTCGTTGATTTAAGTCAAAATAAGGTGTTGAACTCGGATTATCTGATGTGTATTCGTTTCGCAATATTCAGCGGAACTAAATTTGTTTACTAATTTTAGTTTCATTTTGGCTAAAGCTATCCACTACTGAGCACAGAATCAACTATTTCTCAACATTGGCTCTGTATAATATCCGGTTCATAAAACAAACCGATAAATTAATAAAACTGATTTTTTATTTTTTGATAACCAACTCTGAGATTTAGCCATTTTAGAAACCTTCAAGGAAGCTGACAGTTTTCTAATAATGGTTTTGAAATCTTAATGTTACAAGTCGTACTTAATTTTCCCATGGTCTTCAATGGAATCTGCCGCCGTAGCGGTTTGGCTTGGTTCCTCCTTGGTTGGATAAAAATGGTTACCCCAATTCATACGGAATCTATTATATAACAGCCCCGAGAATTAATTTTATTGTATCGCGTAGCTTCATTTTGGTTTCACTGTCTTTACGAAGCTCTGTGTTTATAGCATAAATCTTTGATTTGGTGTTCGATTAAATGTTTATTTTCATATTTATATTCCTGTATTGTAATTTATGAACTTATACCATTTTGCTTACACAAAATATCAAGGTTAAACTCACTTATTTTGTAACTAAAAAGAAGTAGGGTATCGAGTCTAATCTATTACCCAGTGAAACCACGACACTGTGTTTGGTGCAGATGGAATAATTGTTTTCTAGAATGGCTTAAGTTCCCTATAATTTCAAAAAAATCCATAATAGTGATGAGCGAGGTCAACCAGGCCCATGATTCGATAATACTCTTGATGAAAGCATGTAACCCTACCGCACCCTCTTTACCTTTTTAAATTAATACCTGTACGCAGAAGTAAATTATCGGTTCAAGTGACAGTATGGCTAATATCTTTACATCGAACAGAACAAACTAAGACGGATAGCTAATATCAAATAACCGTTATATCCATTGTTCTAAAGAATAAGACAAGAGAAGGACAAAAGCACAGGTTTACTTCATTACCATGTTTACAAGAATCAATTGACATTTAGAAAAGGCGAAGTTTATTCCGAGTAGATTAATAAAAAGTCTATGATTGAATACTTTGTCATTGTAGAAAAAAATATCGAACGCATAATAAACATCTGTCTTTCATGGTTTATTTTGATTAGTTTCTGTATTAGCTCGATATTCCTTGATTTGTGTTGTTAACCAACATATCTTGACAGTCAACAATTGCTTTCTGACTAAAAACATATGTCTAATATTTTTCTTTGTCAGGCTTTAATTGGACTGGTCAAACACGTGGTGTACTTGATTAGCTCGTTCAGGGTAGCAGTTGGCCAACAGTTTATGAATTCTGTATTAGGTTACAAAATCAATGACGGGGTGTGCTGTATAAAATGTTTCTTTTCAATTCCCCGCTCAATTATTTTCTTATTATTTTCAGTCGTCGAGCAGCTGAAGAATCAAGTCCACCCTTTAATTTTCTTGTGTATTCCAAGAATTACCATGTATTGCTAGCTTCAACCAAACTGAATAAAAATCGACATGGAATGACCAGGTTCACGGAGTGAAGGTTTAAACCGTGAAGAAATAACCCAGTGCAGGACTGTGTAAATGGTGTTTGCTAATTGGCTAATGTTGATTAGTGTGGATAAACTTCATTTATAATTAAAAAACTCTGATAGACTTACCAGTGTATTGTATTAACGTGCCAAAAAGACAGATTTCTTTAGACGTTATCTGCATTTATTCTCGGGAAAGGAATCTAAGTCGCGGACGCCTATACCGTGCGTAATAAGTGTTGATTTTTTACACGAGGGGGACCATTGAACACACAACGGATATGTGATAGAAGGTTTATTTATTGAAATAAGTGTAGATTCTAAAAAATATATATTTTGGAGAACTATTGTTTTTGTAAAATGGATCCACAGAATTCAACTACAATAACAGAATGGCTAGTAACCACAGTTACAGAAGCAACTATTAGACCAACAGACAACGGCAGCAGGAATTCCACTGTATCTATTCTGGCACCGAATACCACCCCGTCTTCTATAATTGAAGAAACGACCATTGTTAGTGAACACAAACAATTAAATCGAACAAATTCATTCACATTTAATTTTACGGATATTTGGAACACATCTGAACCGTATTACAAAAATAACAGCCAATATGATGAAGATTACTATTACCATTCAACAAATAATGTTACATTGCCTTGGTTTCAATCAGGTATCAGTGATGTGACAAATTATTCAAATTCTACGCATTCCTACGCAGGCTGGACGTTTTCTGATTTATTTCCATCCACATTTACAGACACGCATTTACCCGGAAATAATTCAGAGGTCGCCAAAGAAGCTTTGATTCTCAAAACGGTATCTTTAGTTCTGATAGCCTTGTCTGGAATATTTGCCAATGGATTTATTACTTATTCCGTGGTGCGGGACAGAAATCTTCATAAGCCACCATTTTATTATTTATTGAGTTTCTGTGTATCAGATTTATCGCGTGCCCTTTTTTGTATACCATTAGTAATGACGTCCGTGTTACAAGGCTCAGTGTGGAAGTATGGCGGCGCTGCATGTAAACTTTTTGCGTTTGCAAATTCTTTCTTTGTCTACAGTTCCTGCATGGTGTTGTTGGCTATTGCGGTTGATCGCCATTTTTCTCTCGTTCACGTGAAATTCTATAAGAAACGATCACGTGGATTGATTAACCTTATCTCGGTTATAATTGGCTGGACAGTCGCCTTTGCTATGTCATTTCCGCCTGTGCTGGGAATGGGTACGTATGTGTTTATCCCCGAAGAAGGCCAATGTACTTTTTACCATCGATATTACAGAAATAATGACACATTAGGTTTCATGTTGGTTTTCACTGTGATATTACTATTGGCTCTTTTCCTGTATCTAAGAATATTTGCCTTTCTTAGAGACCACCGACGGATGCGTCCTCTAGAATTACAACCCGCCCGAAGCTGCAATTGGAATTTCTTCGGTCCTGGTGCCAACGGCCAGGCGATGATTAACTGGGTCAATGGATTTGGTGGCCCTCATTTGAACCCAATTACGAATCCAAACAACCCTAATGTTCCCAGAAATATCCAGAGGCCAAATATTGGCAGGGTTGTGAATTTACAAATAATCAAAAACGAACATTTGACTAGATTATTTTTTATTGTTACTGTAGTATTCGCCATTTTATGGACACCTTATACTATTATGGGATACTGGCGAATATTTGGAAACGCCAACAGTATACCGTCATTTTTAATTACTGTAAGTGCCTGGTTGACCTACGCTCAAATCGCTCTGTGCCCATTGGTTTATGTCGTGTCACGTGGACCAATAAGAAAGTCATCTCGAACTATTTACAACAATCAAGATAAAAAGGAATTCTTATTGGAAGCACGCAACAGAAAGTAATTTATCTATGAAATGGATTTTTTTTAGGATTAATGGGCAATTGAGCTCTGTGGCGGGACAGTGGACGAAGTAAGCTAAATAATGGAATTGTTGGAATACGTGAGTTGTCTCGAGGAATTGAAATTATCGTTCCACTGGCACAGTTGAAATGAAATTGAGGTTTTGGCATTATAACAATCCATCCCATACCCCTTACTTTACTTGTGCATTTAACTAACCTCACGTTGCTTGTGATTTTTTTTTTTTTTTTAATGAATTTGTTATTTTTAATTTCGCCAGCGAAAAGAGAGAACATTATCTTGATACTGATATTATGAGTGATGAAACACTATGGTATGTTTTCGCAAATTAAATTATTTAGTATACCCAATGTAATTTTCTTGTTGTTTGATATTAAATTCGTTCTTCAAATCAACATTCACCAAAACAAACGCCACGGCTCTGAGTGTATGTTCACAGATAAAGAACTTATCGCCCCAACAGAACCACTGAACCGCACATGCGACACGCAATAGCGCCATACACGTGGGAGGGGTTCATTGTCAAATTTGACACTTCAAGGAAGGGTTGATGAAAACTGCCGCTTGCTGGTTTATCTATCCATGTTTGCTTTCCTATCGGTTCTTGCATAAGATTTACTGTTTAGCGTATCTTTGCTTTAGTGTGTTACGTTTAATTTGATCGGGAGACGTGTTCGTCGACGGCAACGTCAACCGGCAACACTGCAAGAATTGGCCGAGGCACTGCAAGATGAGTGGGTCAGATTGCCCCAAATCTCGATTGGACGGTTGATTAGGAGCATACCACGACGAACTGCTGAATGTCTGAGAATTGGTGGAGCAATTACTCATTATTAAGACAAAAATAAAAAACGTCCATTTTCATTTTTGACGGTGTATCTCTTTGCGAGTGAAATGGGACCGTCAGAGAAGCCGCCCATATGAACTGTTTTTGTTCATGTTTAGGCAATTGGCCTGTTATTAACATACACTGGTTACCTCTAATAAAAACAGCAGTGCATTTCCGCAGATTTGTATTGTTTCTAAATATCACCTACTTTTTTTGAAGAGTATATTAGCAACCCGGTTGATTTGGAATGTTAGTTAATTCTTTAGTGCATTATATGAATTTTGCTTCCGCTTCAAATCTTTGGGAGCACGCTGATCTTTGGTCGATTGACCATATTTGGGTGATCTGTGGGTTGGGGATCATAGTTTCGGGTTAGAACTTGGGCATTAGTGGTTAAGTGCTGGTTAATTTCTTTAGCCCTTTGTCTTCGTTTAAAACCGTGTGCCGATCTTGTCTAAATTAAATATTGTGAATCGGGAACAACTCCCTAATTTAGATGCTTTCAGATCTGAATACAGTGCACCGAATAAATTGATCAGTGCTAATTTAAACAGAATACATCCCCGTACCAAAAACATCTCCAACATGAAATTATAAGAATATAATGACGGATGAATAAGCGATAATGATGGTATTTTGTACGGTGATTTACCGGAGATTACGGTTACTGAAAGTTTACGTGCAAAATCGATGTGGATAAAATTAGTTGAATGTGTCATAATTACTTCATTAGTCCATCTACTGTTGGGTATTATAAGGAATGTACAGGCAGGTTCCAGTAAATTAAATTAACGAAAATCATTTTATCCAAGATAAACGCCCAGTGATGCAGCTTTCTCAAGTGGATAACCGATAATATTAAAACAGCTATTTAAAGTAATAATTTCAGACATTATGCTTTAATGCCTTCTTCGACAGACATCTTCAACTTTTACAATTTTTACACATTGATCAACATTTCAGAACTTAACCAAAGAGTTAGCATTAAAATTTGTTGGAAGAAAGCAAAGAAGCAAAAAAAAACGATTGTTATAATGAATAGGGAAATACGATGTTTTCCTGATTTAAACAAAATTATCAGCCCGTGTCAACTGCGTGTTTAATATACGGTGAGGATTATTTTGAATATATGGCAAGGGGTGGGGTGGGGTAGATCTGAATATTTAATTGTCGTCTATCCCAATAATTCAGCATTTGGCCGTTGCGACTAACAGGGCATTGTTTTCCGCGAGAGTCCGATATATGGCCCTTATCAAGAAAGTAAGCTACCATGTTAGAGACTAAGTGAATAAGAATATCACATATGTAGTCGATAATGACTGCATTATTTATACCACAAAACTAGAATTCTTGTTCTGTGTTTATACGTATCAATATCTCATGGATAAGGTGTTACAAAATACATATTTTAATAATTTATATTTCAGTTGTCTACATACTATTCAAAAAAAGTAGGGGATATTTGATTTTGGGGGCATAATACTAAAATATGCAAATGACTACGAAAAAAGTCACTATAGAACCTAACAGAAGAAACATTTCCAGTTACATGTGACGCCCAAACGCACCAATAGCTACCGCATGGAATGCAGGTGATGCTTGGGATCATCATGGGGGGTCCAACCCAAGATTTGCACGACTCTGACTTTGAATGTTACAGTCATTGTGGCATTGAATTCCAGGGTGGAAACATCAGTTTAATTGTTTTAGTGACCAGAAAACAAATTTTGATATGCGTCGGCTTACCCAAAATGAAAGGTTACGTGCCCTTGGCATGCTACAGATCGGCACAACACAGGCGGTTGTGGTGCGGACGATGAATGTTTCTCAGTCTGTCATAAGCAGGCTATGGTCCAGATACCGTGATACACAATCTGTACAGGACAGACCACGCTCAGGTCGACCAAGGGCGACAACCCAAGCACAGGATCGATTTATCCGTACCTTGGCCTTGAGAAATCGTGTCATCACAGCAAATCAGATCAGCGCTCGTCTTCAAACAGACACTGGTGTGAGAGTGAGTGGCCAGACGATTCGGAATCGACTGCATAGGGGTCACCTTCGCGCCCGACGTCCTCGCGTGATCCCTTGTTTGAGAGATCATCACATTCAGGCAAGACGTCGTTGGTGTAGGGATCGTCAACACTGGGATAATCGACGCTGGAGCAATGTGATGTTTTCAGATGAGTCAAGGTTCACTGTTGATTTTTTGGACAGACGTAGGAGGGTGTGGCGTCGTCGAAACGAGCGCTTCCAAGACGTTAACGTCATCAGACATGATCGATTTGGGGGTGGTTCTGTTATGGTGTGGGGAGGCATCACTGTTGCTGGAAGAACGGCTTTACATGTTGTTGCAGGGCGTGTTACAGGCCAGTACTACCGGGACAACATCTTGGCAGTCCATGTTGTGCCGTTCGCACGACGTCATGGCCGCCGTTTCATCTTCCAGGATGACAACGCAAGATGTCACAGGGCCAGGATCGTTACAGGTTACCTCCAACAACAGAACATCACCACATTACCTTGGCCAGCACTGAGTCCCGACCTCTCCCCCATCGAGCATGTCTGGGACATGCTTGGACAGAGGTTACGTCAACGTCAACAACGTCCTGCCAATGTCCAAGAACTTGCTGCTGCGTTGCAACAGGAATGGGACAATCTGGACCAAAATGACCTTAGACGTCTCATTAGGAGTATGCCACGTCGGATCAATGCTTGTTTGGCAAACAGAGGAGGATTTACCCGTTACTGACTTGGTTGTGATGCTGTGGTAACTTTGCTGTTTGACCCCTGGTATCATTTTACCCTTATAATGGTCAGCCTGTGCCTTACTTAGTCTAACGATCATTTGGAATAAATCGATGAATGTGAACTTCATTTCATTTTGTCATTTGTTTCTTCGTCAGTTTCATTAGGTGACTTTAATAACACTTAAAAATCAAATATCCCCTACTTTTTTTGAATAGTATATATATAAATGAAGTGTCTAAAACTGGCCAATCATCAATGTTTTTTATTTCTACATTCTTCTTAAAAAAAACTACTGGTCAGATACAAATTGAACTTTTTGAAATATCTATGTTTCTATAAGCATCAAATAAAATTTATCATTTTGATTCATATATGCCCCCATATAAAACTGTGGCGTAGGGAAATCCTGAAAATGTAATTGGAAACCAGAAATCGATGATTAAGCATTATAAGAATTGTATTTTAATCCACTGGGAATACTCCGACAGTAACTCGAAATGCCAAACCCACTGTGATAAGTATAAAATTATATGCCATGGAACCTGTAAACATGTTATTCTGCTTATCAAGGTCAAATTTATATCTGTCAGGATTTGTAAACAAGAATTTCCAAAATCCCTCTTGACTAAGAATAACATCCCCTGAAAGCTCTTTCGTGGTGAAAGAGTGGCCGATCAGATAAGCGGATAGTATATAACGTATATTGATGATATTGACCCCAATCAATAAGCGATAGTCAGATAAAGTCTTGTCATTTCCTTAAGACGCCAATTCCAGCCATTTTCTGTGTCTCCAGGAATGGTTCTAATCAAAGAAACATTAATCACAATATTTCTGTTGCTGACGTGAGAGACTGTGACACGCTATTCTATCAAACGATAGCGCCATCCCGTCACTTCTATCAGACGCCTGGCATCTTGGACATTTCACGAAGATTGACCATGCGATGGTACTCGAGTCAGGAGAAAACTGGTTATGTCAAATATTATCAATCATTTAATGAGCATGGTTATCTCTATCGATAAAAAAAGTCATCTGAGGGTAACCACGACGCGTGCTTACGGCATCTTACCCAAGTCCTTTGAATGTTTGCGATGCGCTCTGTTTCGTATTCCGTTTGGTTCAAATAGCACGACACTCGATATATAAACCATGTTCAGATAGAGTAACACATGCCAACGGCTCTGGTCTGGGAGCCAAAATAATCTTAGGGATATGGGGTGGAGATATTGTTGAATTGTTTTCTCGTCTGAATTGAAGACTATATGCTGGGAGAAACACTATCGAAAGAATTATGCGGTTAGTCATAGGGTAACACTCTCGAAAGTAAGAATTGCGCACCGATTTTACACTGACTTATTGGCTCTGTCACAGAAAATCTCACACATATTTATGTGGCTTTATATGTCTAGTTTAGTTTTTAAAATAGCTTGTTTGTATGTGTAGGTTTACTTAAAAAGTATCTGATTTTAGTATTATATTTTGTAGCGACCCACGGTCATGTTTGATACCAACCTGATTCAAATTGTAAAACAAGGTGCTTCCCAGCTTTATTTTCCTTAGGTCCACACCAAATCTAAATCCGGCATGGACGGCGAAAGGAATATAAAGGAATATGAACGACATTAAAGGTTATGTAGTACACATTTGATTTGTCAACCAAGCTTTATGGTCCAATATCTTTATGTTTCCAGAATTTTTGAAGTGGTTGACCTAGTCATCGATTCGAAAATTATGCCATCACTGTTGATTTTCTGGAGCAAATCTGGATCTGAATAGAAGAACAATAACGAGGACACGAGTTTATGCGTAAAACATGGTGTTTTTCAGGGGGCATACACCTTTTAGGGGATACCATATTTCAAAAAGGGGGTGTCTAGGCATAGTAGGAACCCCAGTCCCCACGCCCTTTGAAACGGGCCTGTTGTATAAGATTCCAACCCATGTAGAAATTTCCAGTTATACGCTTAAGCAAGAGTAGATACTATACTATAAAATCTTATAAAGGCATGGTTATGTAAAAATTAAAAGCAATAAAAGTATTGGATTCCATATAGATCATGTAACCCTTTTAACTTGCTCACTAGCGTAGGCTTTAAAGAAGCTACATCTCTATTCTTTGGCACCCA